TTAATCACACCGCAGCCTTTTGCATTTAGAAACACTACACAGCACTTTGGTGCTACAAATGGGGGCCATTTTAAACAGTGAAATTATCAACAGAAAAGCACAGAAATGCAAAAAAATTAGCAATAAATAGACTGCAAAAAATGACAATTGTTTATATATATGACAGCTGAAACAAGCCAGTAGAGCCCTGACCTCACCTTTAGGAGTAAGGGCTTGCGATTTGCTAACTGGGTGTTCACAGCAACTTTGCAGAGTACAATTACCACGAGTAACGAGAACCAAATGTAACTTTGATCCTCTAGAATCCCTTAAAAGGCTCCAGTGTTGAAACATAAATCGCAAAGGTTAACAGCTTTTTATGATAGAAGCAGCGTTATGACTAATCAGAATTATTAGACTGTCTTGTGATTAGATAAAAAGCTCCATTTCTTATGTGACATAAGGTTTCCCGTGAGCAGATAGAAAAATTTGAATAGACTCTACCTATTACTTTGTTATAATTCTGAATCAAATCAACGTGCTACCAGTATTTTCGACTGAATGACATAAACTAACTTTAGGTGAAAAGTAACTCGTTAGAACAAGCACAAACAATCAGAAATGGGCATCAGTAATCACCCCAAATAATTAGGTTTTCCTTACTTATAGCCAAGCTGTCGACAGACCACAGCCGCGTCCTTATCGCTCCATCCATCGTCACAGATCGTTCCCCACTGGCTATTGATAAAAACCTCCACGCGTCCCTCTTTCTTATTTTCTCCATCCATCAGTCTGAGAGGAAAACCTAAGCCATCATTTAAGAGTATTAGAAGAGCCAAAACAAGCAAAGTGACGCTGAAGCAGGAAAGACTTTACAAAATAAATCTTTTAAATCAGCTATAAAACCAGCTGGGCGATACTTTTTTGACAGAGATCAACAAAAACTTGTACCCGCTTTTGTAGTATTTTTTGAAGCCTTGAGGTCAAAATGCTCACCTTGCCCGACTTTGTATTCTCAGGGTTGGGAACGGTGCCTGCCTGGCACGCAGAGGTCACACCATGGCTGTTTGTTGAATGACTGAATGAATGAACGGCACTATTAAATGGTAAATCATTTTGTTACATCTAACTTCTAAATAGTAAAAGAACATTAACTTGGGGCTGTTTTTGTTTCATGTCTGTCCATTTATCCATGAACACAGCTAAGAATTTATACTCCAAAGCTAAGATGTTTAGGAAGGCACAGACAGACACAAGCTTGGCACCCATGAGTAACTGGAATGGGTCTGATATTGGAAGAGGGAGGACAAAAGGCAGCCCACAGGGACAATTCCTGTCCAACACTTTCAATTTACTACTGATTCCAAGGGACTTTTAAGTAATAAAAATTACTCAGATTTAAAAGTTGAGAAACTGATCTCTTGCAAATTGATTTCTAGCAGTTTTCTTTAATTTTTCCTGTAACATTGATATAATGCACTATTTTTAGAAAATAATACTATCTCCTAGAAAAAAGACAAAATATAGCATAAATACAAATTAAAAGTCTAATTTTAGGCTGGGCACAGTGGCTCACGCCTGTAATCCTAGCACTCTGGGAGGCCAAGGCAGGTGGATTGCTCAAGGTCAGGAGTTCGAGACCAGCCTGAACAAGAG